TCTTGTATAACAACAAGTTTCTCTCTCTATTGATTATCTTATATGGAGAATACTGAGACAAAGCCAGACAAAAGTGAACATTTGTACTACAAATGATTACAAATAATTGGGGCATGTAATTGTAAATTAATTTAAAAATAGTTATGATAATTAAAATTAAACATTGCCTTTTGCTTTTTTAAAGATTTAGAAGATAGAATAAACAAAATGTCAGCAATGTCATCAGCAATGTCATTATGTTCTGAGAAGTTAACACTTTGGATTCTTGTCAAAGGCAGTCCAGGACCTACAAAATTCCCTGTTGAATAAAATGTCCAGTCACAAGAAAGTAAGCTTTGTCTCAAGAGTGAAGAATGGCTTGATGGAAGTTGTAGTTTTGATCCTGTCAACTATTCTGTACATCTTGAGGAATTTGTTTTATTGGTATGTGAAGCTAAAGAAGATTTGAAAAAGGTGCTGCCCAAAACATTGCGCAAATGCATAATGCTGTGAAGGTAAATGAAAATATTGTACATACTATTATTCTGCTTATTATTGTTTGCTTATTGACATCTTACAAGCCATTTTTAGAAAATAAACAGACAACAGAAGATAGATGAGAGATACAAAATCTCAAGTCTGAATATATGGCATTGTGACAAATGCATCACAATAGTTTTTTTTTAATGGATTGGATCCCTGGAAGACCCTCAAGTAGAAGTATCTGGATCTCATCAATGTGATTTTGGCAGTGATGATATGAAAGATGCAAAGAAATTAGCTAATTGTATTACCTCTATCCTGCAATGCAAGCTAGTGGTCTGGGTAGCAATTAAAAAAATTCATCTGTAAGTGGTGTGAGATAGTAAATCTTGGACCTATCAATTACCTGGTTAATATTGACCAATTAGAACGAATTTACTACGGAGGTCATGTGATGTGCTAAATATTACATCACGACCAACAACCATCTTTCTATATTATTGTAATGGCTACATCGCACATTGCGCAGTGTCATATGAAAGATTATTCCTATTCATGTTTCTATATTTATATTTATTAACCTACTCATCTGATGTAAATATTTATTTAGAATTAGTAATTAGTTGATAAGCATA